ATGTGATTTGACAATTCAATAACGTTTTTGAGCTTTCACTGACAATACTTATTAAAGATAATTTCAAGCGTGAAAACTGTCCATATTTTGATGTCATGATATGTAAATTAAAAATTGTTATTTTACGGTGATAATCTTGTTTTCTTGTGCCCAATAATGCATAATTTCATTTGATAAACACGTTTAGATTGAATGGTAACTTATAATCAGTCACAAGAACGTCGAATCTGAATCACTTGAAAAAAACACGGGGGGTGCTTAACTTTTTTCCAGGTGTATATGTTAAAATCTGATTAAGTATGTGAATATCAATGTATTTATCCGCATTCTTGATTTTTGAAAATACGTTTCAATGTTCAAGTTTCGTGATCTCTATTTTCTTTGAAAGTTGTATGTCAAGTTTAACAATCTTTCAAAATCACTTTGAGCTGAAAACTACTTAAGGAATAAAGTTCTTATTTTTTCTTCAAAACTGAGTGTAATATTGTTAACACTTATAAAGAGCTTCTGTTGCGTTAATTGTATTATACGTAAGGTACCAATTACTACGCAGGTTTGGGCGTGGATTACTGACGTACTTATCTGTACTGATAATAATTAGTGTGTGAGAGGTGTAAAATACATTTATATGAGAAAATATGACAGTCATTCAGAGAAATATTTGCGTGTAGTAGGCGTGTGAGGTGACTTGGAAAAAAAATCATTTTCAGTATTTTGTAAACAAAATAAGCATAGATAGGTATACCCGAACAGTTTTTACAGATTAATTGTGTTTTGTTATAGCAAAGCCACATCGAGCTATCTGCTGTATCTACTGAGGTGAATCGAACCGCTGATTTTAGTGTTGTAAATACGAAGACTTACCGCTGTCCCACTGGAGGACTCTTACAGATTATACATAGAATTATATGATAAAAATATAAAAGTTTCGTTAGTTTTAAATGTTTGAGAATTATTTGTATCACTATTTTAATATACTATTTGCTTTATAATTGTTACAAAAAGTTACATAAGGGCCATCTCCCCATAGCCTTTCCTCATTTTGAATTTCTAGACTAGAGCACCCACCGTCAACTTGTAGACTTCTCTTGTCTGATCGAAAAGTAGAATTTGATCTTTACTCGAGACCGCCAGCCCCCAGTTGACTCAACGGAAAGACTGAGGGCTTATCACGATAAAAAATCGCATTTCGATATCCGCGGTGGGCAAAGTATAAGATAGCCAATTTAAAAGTCTTGAGCTTGTCAACAAACAAACAGACTATTAACCTTTGGATTCATAGTCTGGATACGCTAACCATTCGAAACACTTAGTTCAATATTAATGTCTTAAGAATTGACTATATAAAATTACGCATAGTTTTATATGATCCTAAACGTTTTTATTTGTATATATTTGAGTTTTTTTTAATAACTTAATCAATAAAGACTTAACATTCTCAATATAACAAGTAATATATTTTTAGATATTTTGTCCAAGTTTAAAACAATGAAAACACTT